AGTGGCCGTCGATTTGGTTGTCCCCCCCCCCCCCCCTCCCGCCCGCTCAGAAGACCCACTAACTAGCGAGGTTAATTGCGCGAAAACTGCCCAGTTAATGATGCAGACGAGAAAATAGATCGGAGGTTTTATTTCTACTCAAAAAGGTACGTTACTTTTTATTCTCTTTCTATATTTTCCTATCATTTCTTCTACGTTATTGTAATTATTTTTTCTTTTTTTTTCTTAAGTCTTACATACAGACGAACAAACACGGTTGCTCAAACTTGTAGAAATACGCGCGCGTGTGTGTGTGTGTGTGTGAGTTTATGAGTTTGTGTGAGTTTATGAATGTGCGTGTGAGTTTATGTGTGTGTGTGAGTGTGTATGTGTGTGTGTGTATGTCTGCGTATGCGTGTGTGTGTCTTGAAATAAGTCTTGGATAATCAACAAGTTTAATCAGACGGCTTCAAACCTCAGAGCAAACTTCACGCGCAGGACACCAAAATTGCTTGATCATCAAACCTGCTAACAGGATTAAGAAACTGAACTCCAATTTAGATGCTAATGTGCATTATCGGTCGATTCATTTCGGATTCCGTCAAACACACTCGCACACAAGCGCGCGCACGCACACACAAACGCTCTCGTAAATACAGTCGTACAAACACAAACACATCCACACACACACACACACACACACACAGGCGCGCACACATTCACACACACACACGTGCACACATACACACACACGCATGCACATATACACACACATACACACACACACAAACACACAAACGCACGCACGCACACACGTACGTACACACGGTTAGCAGTTGAGAATCACGTGATTATCGTCTGGCAAAGTCACGTGACTTGCTCGACCAATCAGGAGAAAGGTAGTAAATTTTAGCCATTCTATATAAGAGCGACGTAAGCCTTCTTTACTGTGATAAATTGATAAATATCTATTAAATATTCCTGAGAAATCACCGCGTGTTTCAAATTTCCGTTTTCTTTGACTTCGTTTTCAAGATCCCGTTTTCTTTCCCTTCGTGTTTCAAGATTTCGTTCTCTTTCCCTTCGTGTTTCATGATTCCGTTTTCTTTTCCGTCATGTCTCAAAGATTTCGAATTATTTTCGTAAGTGTGTCTATTCTCTGGAATTTTCAACAGAGAAAAGAAAAAAACATATTCCATATTCACTTTTTCTCCCTCTACCCTTCGCTTCCCTCTGATGTCAACAGAGGAAAAACTTCTTTAAACGTAAATGGAAAAGGACAAAGGACTGAAATATAACACGAACAAAAAGGAAGAGGGGAGGAAAAAAGAGAAGCAAGCGAGAGAGAGAAAGAGAGAAAGAGAGAGAGAGAGAGAGAGAGAGAGAGAGAGAGAGAGAGAGAGAGAGAGAGAGAGAGAGAGAGAGAGAGAGAGAGAGACGAAGGTATATATATATATATATATATATATATATATATATATATATATATATATATATATATAGAGAGAGAGAGAGAGAGAGAGAGAGAGAGAGAGAGAGAGATAGATAGATAGATAGATAGATAGATAGAGAGAGAGAGAGGGAAAGGGAGGGAGGGAGGGAAGGAGAGAAAGAAAGAGAGAGAGAGAGAGAGAGAGAGAGAGAGAGGCAATGAGAGAGAGGCGGTGAGAGAGAGGTATGAATATATATATATATATATATATATATATATATATATATATATATATATATATATATATATATATAAATAAACATACATATATATATATATATATATATATATATATATATATATATATATATATATATATATATATATGTGTGTGTGTGTGTGTGTGTGTGTGTGTGTGTGTATGTGTGTGTGTGTGTGTGCATAGCTAGATAGATAAACAGATAGATAGATAGATGAATAGATAGGTATAGATAGCCAATAGATAGATAGGTAAATAGACAGATACAAACAAACAAACAAATAGACCAATAAACCTAGAAATACAACATCGCTTCTGCGCCCCTTTCCTCCCTCGGGATTTCCGCCATGTCGGATGTACTGTACTATAACCTGTCTTTATCACTGTGCTGTCTGGAACGCCCTTGCTCTTTCTCCAGGAGGGCATCTCTGGCCTTAGGGCTCGTTTCTTGCTTTCTTGGATAAACTTTTCTCTTCTCCTATTTCTTAATTTATCTTTGAAGGTGAAATCTAGTTTGATTTCAAAGCTGTTGTTTAATTACACTCACACTCACACACACATACACGCAAAATCACACATACACACACACACAAATGCAAAATCACACACACACACACGCAAAATCATGCACACACATACGCACACACACACACAAACGCAAAATCACACACACGCAAAGCCATACACACACACACACACACACACACACACGCGCGCGCGCAAAATCACACACACACGCACACACACACACACACAAATGCAAAATCACACACACACACACACGCAAAGTCATATACACACACACACACAAATGCAAAATTACACACACACACACACACAAATGCAAAATCACACACACACGCAAAATCACACACACACACGCGCAAAATCACACACACACACAAATGCAAAATCACACACACACACACACGCAAAGTCACACACACACACACGCGCAATATCATGCACACATACACACAAACACACAATCCTCGGCCTCTCACACACATATGTACGTCCAGCCCTTACATCCCCTTCCAGCATCAGAGCGAACTCATCCGTCTTCCGCGGGAACAATGGGCGCCCGGGAAGCACAGACGCCGCCCCCCCTGCTCGCTTCGCCTCCGCCTTCTTCGCCTTCTTCGGTTCTTCCTCTTCTATCGCCCTCCTCGCCTGTTCTGTCTCCTCCTCCTCCACTACCTCCTCCTTTGCCTCTGCCTCTTCTTTCTTCCTTTTTCTCCTCCTCCTCCACCACCTGCTACACCTCCTCCTTTGCCTCTGCCTCTTCTTTCTTCCTTTTTCTCCTCCTCCTCCTTCTCTTCCACCACCTCCTCCTTTGCCTCTGCCTCTTCTTTCTTCCTTTTTCTCCTCCTCCTCCACCACCTGCTGCGCCCCCTCCTTCCCCAAGTCCTCCTTCCCCTACACCAGGGGTCGGCTACCTGCGGCTCGCGATGGGCCAACCGACTAAAGGATGAAGTCGACGCCTCACATCGCGATAGTGATAGTGTAGGACGGAGCAAATTTGCAAGGATGAGATCTTCGCAGTCAATGACTTGATTTTTTTTTTTCTTCAACAAATTTCGTGCACTCTAATCACTGGTTTACCTGCTCTCCTATATATTTTTATTTGTAAACCTATATATATATATATATATATATATATATATATATATATATATATATATATATATATATATATATATATATATATTTATATATATATATACATATATATATATATATATATATATATATATATATATATATATATATATATATATATATATATATATATACATATATATAATTTTGTACACCTATATTTTTTATTCTATTTTGTACACTTATATATATATTTTTCATTTTGTACATATATTTCTATTTTTTGAATTCTATATATTTTCCTATATTTCTTTTGTATTTTCTTGCATTATTTGTTTTTTTCCTATATTTTTTGTTGGGTTCTCTTTGGCACTCCGGCCCGAAGGCTACTCCTAGAAACTTTCTCTGGCCCTCGCACCCTCTTCGCCTCCTTCTTCTCCTCCTTCTCCACCACCTTCTCCTATTCCCCCTCCTCCGTTTCCACTACCTCCCCCTCCCCCTCGTCCCTCCTTCTCTTCCACCACCTCCTCCTCCCCTCCCCCTCCCCCTCCCCCTCCTTCTCCTCCACCACCTCCTCCTCCCCTCCCCCCTTCTCCTCCACCACCTCCTCCTCCCCTCCCCCTCCCCCTCCTTCTCCTCCACCACCTCCTCCTCCTGCGCCTCCACCTTCTGCTCCGTCACTAGAGTCCGGTCGCTTAGCGTGGGAAACCCGGGACCCTTCGAAGCTACACACAAAAGTCTTCGTCAATTTGAGACTTAAAAAAAAAAAAAACTTTTATCAAGTCGTTTCAAAGGCACACGTCGCTTGGCCTCTCGCTTTGTCCCGAACTGACCTTCTGGGTGGGATAAAAGGGGGGAGGGGGGGGGAAGAAAAAAAGAGAAGGGAGGGTGATAGAGAGAGAGGGGAAATGAATAAGGGTAGATTGGAGGGAAGAGAGAGAGAGAGAGAGAGAGAGAGAGAGAGAGAGAGAGAGAGAGAGAGAGAGAGAGAGAGAGAGAGAGAGAGAGAGAGAGAGAGATGTGAATGAAAAGTGAATGAAGAAATTGATAAAGGAATACAGAATTACAAATGAATAAGCCGAAAAATAGATATGAAAATGGAAGCCTGGTAAATAGATTCATTGATATATGAACTGATATTTAATCAAATAGAACAAATATCTAAGTAATAATGTGAAGAAAACAGAAAAAAACAGAGATGGAGGTGGAAAATAAAGCATGAAAAGATTACAGAAAGTAAACATAATCTGAAAAATAGAATAAAATTCACTGACTATGAAGAAGATAAGAATAAACCAAAATCCGATAATGATAAAAAAAATTAACTTTATGTATATTTATCTTAAAGTGTTTGTAAAAAAAAGTTGAAAAGAGTAAGAAACATGAAAATTGATTGGAGATAAAAACTATGAAAAAAGGAACCGCCAGTTAAAAAATCAGAAATCAGAAGTAGGGCTGTTTTTTTTTCTGGAACTTCTTTCAAAGACCAGAATACATGGAAATACAAACATACATGCATACGTACATATATATATGTATATATATATATATATATATATATATATATATATATATATATATATATATATATATATATATATATATATTAATAGGCAGGAATATAGCGAGGAAGATAGATGGATAGATCGATCTACACACACACACACACACACACATATACACACACACACACACACACACACACACATATATATATATATATATATA